GAGCTATTATTGTCCCCCTACCGAAACTAGGGGACGATAATAAAGAACTAGACAACAAACCAACTTTGTCAAATAGGGTGGTGTCGTATGAATTAGTTAATAGGAAAGTAGTTACTAGATACAAGACAGAAGTAGTAACCTTTTACTATGTCGCAAACATCTTGGTATATCTATATACTATTTATATGTACATGTATATATATATATATATATATATACACATAAATATATATATATTACTAAGATATTTATATATATATATATAGTTATATATTTACAATGTTATATATATACTATAAATATATATATATACATGAATAAATAATAAGTTTACAAATGTATATAAATTATATTCGATTTTAAAGGGTTATATATATATATATATATATATATATATGTGTGTGTATGTATATATATGTGTGAGTGTATGAACACAAACATATATGCATACCTGAACAGATCTGGAATGAAGTAGCGACACAGTTGATAGCATCAGAGTATGGCAGGTTAGGAAGTAGTAGGGTGCGCTTGAACGCTTTGAGCAGGTCAGTGAAGAAGTCGACATTAATCAGATGGGAAAACCTGTGGCATCATAAGAGCAGCATACACCAATGTGTTAAAGTGATGCTATGATTAGTCATCTATGCGTAGCCACTAAGGCATACAGTGCAGCAACACAGACACGCACACACGTAACACAGACACGCGCACACACGTAATATAGGCACACACCAACACACACACACACATACACAACACGGTAGCACAGGACAGGCATGTGGTAGCCATATTTATCACCAGACACCCAGACACACAACGTCACAAGATGATTAGTCATACGATTTCATCTACGTCTACCACGCATTCACATACACACGCACACACGCACACATATGCATACACACATACACAATAAACACGCACACACGCACACATATACATACCATGCACACTCACATACACAGTCAACACACACACACACACACCGATATCGACACCTGTACTCGCTCATAGTCGCATATACACACTGAATCAAACACATAGACACATGAGCTTACACACACACACACCAATACTCTCACTGGCACTCACCTGGCCAATCCCTTCAGAGTTGCCGACAGAAGCGGTGAAGCGCCGCCGTGTTTGAGTATGCGGAAATAGGTCAAGAACACCATCTTGAGTATCTCGTTGTATCTTAACTTCAGCTCCTTCTGGTTCTCCAAGGCCGACGCCTTTTCCAAGTCACGTTCCAGCTCTTTGTCTAGCTTGTTTTTCTAAGTGTGGTGTAGTGCAGGTTTAGTAGGGTTTAGGGTTTAGGGGTGTAGTTCCAAATCATGTTCTAAGTTTGTCTTCATCAGTGTGGTGTGGTACATCGGAGGTCACAGTCAGACTGCGCCTATAATAGCCCTCCCACTCTCTTCATACAACGGCCCTCCCACTCTCCTGCAGCGGCTGGTCGCTGAGAGTGTTCTGGGGCAGAGACTGGGCCCAACAGGGCAGAGCAGATGACGGTGGAGTGAAGCGGCTGGGGTGTAGTATATGCGCACAGGCACCCTAACCATCGGGTGTGAGGCTGTGTGGTCTGTGGTGTAGGTATATGTGCACAGGCACCCTAACCATCGGGTGTATGGCTGTGTGGTCTGTGGTGTAGGTATATGTGCACAGGCACCCTAACCGTCGGGTGTGTGGCTGTGTGGTCTGTGGTGTAGGTATATGCGCTCCAGCACCCTAGCCATCGGGTGTGTGGCTGTGTGGTCTGTGGTGTAGGTATATGCGCACGGGCACCCTAGCCATCAGGTGTGTGGCTGTGTGGTCTGTGGTGTAGGTATATGCGCACAGGCACCCTAGCCATCGGGTGTGTGGCTGTGTGAGTTCTGTCAAGCTGTGCCATAGTCACTAGACACACCCACCTCCGTTGCTGGTTGCTGATGTTGCCATATGCCATTGACAGGGGTACGTGTACAATCCAATACACTCAGAGTGGACAGGTGCACGTGTACGTTACAACACACTCTCAGAGTGAACAGACGCACAGGTGTACTTGCACAGGATCATATGACATGCAGGCCACTCCTTGCTATCATCGTCATGCCACAACCAATTGAATCTCAGATACTTTCTACCTACCTAACCTTCCACACAACCACACCCAATTGAATCTCAGATACTTTCCACCTACCTTACCTTCCACACAACCACACCCAATTGAATCTCAGATACTTTCTAACTACCTTACCTTGCACACAACCACACCCAATTGAATCTCAGATACTTTCTACCTACCTTACCTTACACACAACCACAACCAATTGAATCTCAGATACTTTCTACCTACCTTACCTTGCACACAACCACAACTAATTGAACCTCAGATACTTTCTACCTACCTAACCTTCCACACAACCACACCCAACTGAATCTCAGATCCTTATTACCTACCTTCCGCTGTTTCTTCGATTTGTGAACCTCGTTGCCATGGTAATCCGTGGCTATGGGGGCGCTCCTGGCGTTGGTGATGGGGTTGATGGTCTTGTCGTAGAGGTCTGTCTTGAGCGTTAGACTGGCAAAGCACTCTAGCAGCTGCAACACACGCGGGTGTATGCACACGTGAATGTATGTATATGACATGTAGCTGTGTGAGTGTGTTGACAAAGAGTGTGTATGTAGATATCATGTACCTGTGAGTGTGTGTATGTAGATATCATGTACCTGTGAGTGTGTGTATGTAGATATCATGTACCTGTGAGTGTGTGTATGTAGATATTATGTACCTGTGAGTGTGTGTATGTAGATTTCATGTACCTGTGAGTGTGTGTATGTAGATATCATGTACCTGTGAGCGTGTGTGTGTAAATATTATGTACCTGTGAGTGTGTGTATGTAGATATTATGTACCCGTGAGTGTGTGTACGTAGATATCATATACCTGTGAGCGTGTGTGCGTAGATATTATGTACCTGTTGAGCGTATGTATATAGATATTATGTACCTGTGAGTGTGTGTATGTAGATATTATGTACCTGCGAGTGTGTATGTAGATATCATGTACCTGTGAGTGTGTCGTGATAAAGTGTGCTGCGATAAGATTGCTGCTTTTGTCTCAGAGAGGATCTCCGACGCTCAGTTATGTTGAACAGACATTCGGCTTTTTAGGGTTTCAGCAAACCCTAACTCTTAACTCTAAACATAGCAGAACATTCGATGACGCCAGATACTCAAGTCAAGAAAATGGAAAATGAAGATCATTGTACGGAGTGTAGGCTCGGTGGAGGCCCCCGACCCAACACACCACAACACCTCTACGGATGCACATCCACATACACGCACACGCACAAATACACACACGTACGCAATGCACGTGTACATATATATGTGTGCCTATGTGTCTATATAAATATGTATATATACATATATATGTGTGTGTGTCCATATGTGTGTTGTTGTGCGCTGAATCGACACCTCTTTGATACCCACACCCCTGATCACACATTATGAGTTTTTCATCATCCTTGAGTAGGCCAACATATGCATAGACTTCGCAATATATATATACATATATATATATATATATATGCACACACACACACACATATATATATATACAAACGTATGTATGTATGTATGTTTGTATATATATATATATATATATATATATATATATGTGTATATATGTACGTATATATCTTTATATACTTATATATATATATATAATATATACATTCGATATTTATAGATGTATATATATATATATATATATATATATATATATACATACATACATACATACATATATACATGTGTGTGTGTGTATATGTTTATACAGATATAAATATATATATATAAATTTATATTTATATGTATAAATATATATATATATATATATACATACATACATACATACTCAAACGATACATGTCTACCACTTGCACAGATGAACAAATACAAAGTAACACCAGTTCCCCTAAACCCCCGTCTCGACCGCATATCCATGGACCCAAACCCACACACACGCTTGCACACCTCTCGTCTGGCCTGGTAGTTGTGTGTCTTGATCATCTGTGCTATCCCACGCGTGACCTCAAGCACACTGAGCATATCCGAGTCTCCACTGTACAGTTGGCGCACATACGAGCACACGATGGATGGCACCTGAGCGATGACAAGAGTGTGTTGTTATAGTACAGGTCATGGTTGTTGTGTGAGTGTGTTGTTATAGTACATGTCATGGTTGTTGTGTGAGTGTGTTGTTATAGTATAGGTCATGATTGTTGTGGGAGTGTGTTGTTATAGTACATGTCATGGTTGTTGTGTGAGTGTGTTGTTATAGTATAGGTCATGGTTGTTGTGTGAGTGTGTTATAGTACATGTCATGGTTGTTGTGTGAGTGTGTTGTTATAGTATAGGTCATGGTTGTTGTGTGAGTGTTGTTATAGTACAGGTCATGATTGTTGCATGGTACACGCACGCTAGAGTTGCGCTCAGATAATACCGAGTGGATAGTTAAAGCGCGTGTAACCATGGTAACGTTGACACGTGTGTAAAATCCTTCATACATATGCACATAGTGACAAATCTGTGTGTCGTCTAAGTTTAAGTACGTGCACACTAGCTTCCACTACCTGTCGGTGTGTCTATGCTACCGTAGTCATACCACAACGCAAGTCTCCAAACCCTAAAACATCCTCCCATCACAACACGCATCTCCGCTAACTCCGTCACACGCGCATACCCTTCGGGGGCCTTCCTGGGCAAACGGTAGGATGGAGTGAATGATGTTGTTGCCAAAGTTAAAGCTTGGCTTAGCCAGCAGCATCTCTCCCATGCACTTAACGCACACTTCTACAAGCACCTCTACGTGCTTAAGCCCCTCCACAAGCGCAGCTAGGTCGCCTTTCTTCTCGTCCTTGGACACCTGCGCCGTGGTGGTGAGGTGTGTGTGTGTGAGGGTAGGGTAGATTAAACAGACGCTAGTGGTTGTTTACTGATTACAGTTTGGTGGTAATTCACTACAAACGCGAAGGGTTATTGTACTCTCATATATATATATATATATATGCATGTATGTATATATACATATATATATAGAATGACATATATATATACAGATATATATTATATTTATATATATATATGTGTGTGTGTTTACAAATATATATATATATATATATAAATATATAAATATATATAAGTATATATATACATATATGTATGTATGTATATATATACATATATGTTTGTATATATATATATATATATATATATGATACTGTACCTTGCGTATCTTTACTACTCGGCGGTTGTATGTCTCGAGCATCTTCTGCATGAACTGCAGGTACTTCTGATATGAACCCAGCAGAGAAGCTTCAAAAGCCCGCAGCACAGCTACTTCTTTGGAGACCTTCTGCTTTTGTTCCGCCTCTAAATCATTTTTTTTGTAATGAACACGCACATGTCAGTTGAGATGAATAGGCTCATGCACAAATGTGTATGTGGTTATAGTTTTCATACCCAGCAATCTAAATAAGACAAAAACAAATATAAATAATCCTTTCGTCGTTTTAGGGTTTTATGAAATATCCACCGATCCCCAAATCAGCACCTCATGTCACTCCATTAACAGGCTACTCCGTTCAATCTACCAAACGGACGCATGGGAAACACAACCGCCAGACGACACGCGTGTACACACAGCTACGCCAAATGGCCAATACCTTTACCTCACTACACATACACACGCACGCACAGACACATAACTCAGATATGCCTCAAACGCTAATACAACATCACCTATTGGTATCAACGCGTCTATGTCAGCTGATAGTACCCACTGACATATGTCAATCATGTCACCTGACAGCACCCACTGACATATGTCAATCCATCTGCAGATCTGTGACCGCTTGCGCACTCGATTGATAGGTACCACACCCAACGCACACACAGAGACACACACATACGCGCGAACACATGCGGAAGTGCATACACACACACAACACAGCTGGCTGCATACACGTGTACACACGTTATATGTATATGTAAAGTGGTCTATATATACATATTTATTTATACGTATATTACCATATACATTTGTGCTGCGTAGAGTACAAGTGAACAGCACCAACACACCTGTGGGTAGGCGGATGCGGTAGCCCGGCAGGACGTCCTTATACACCGCCATAAGCGACACCAACGCGAGCTTCCTGGCACGGCTGTCGTTCGTTGCATCAGACGCTATCTCCAACAACTGAGCAAACGCGGTCATGTTACCTTCACAGTCTTCCAACAGCAGCTGAGACAGCTTGGCTATCTGTTGTCTGAGTGTGGCGAAGGTCTCTCGCGTCTTGAGTAGGGCTATGGCGGGGTTGATGTCATCCTCACTGTCGCTGCTGTCGGATTCCGTGTTGGGTTTGTTGGGTTTTGCTTCGTTGTCGGATATGTCCGTGTCGAAATCAGAGTCTGGGCATGGGCAAGCGGCAATGATGTATTAAATAACACATCAGATATATTAAACAACACATCGGATATTTTAAACAACACATCAGATAGGAGTGGTGAATGTGTTATACATTCTCGGAAAGCGATAGACACACTACACACTCTCACACAACCATAGCACACACATAGAATCATAGCACACACATAGAACCATATCACACACATCCAACCATAGCACACACATACAACCATAGCACACACATAGAACCATATCACACACATACAAACATAGCACACACATACAACCATAGCACACACATACAATTATAGCACACACATAGAACCATATCACACATACATACAACCATAGCGCACACATACATCCATAGCACACACATAGAACCATAGCACACACATACAATTATAGCACACACATAGAACCATATCACACATACATAGAACCATAGCGCACACATACAACCATAGCACACACATACAACCATATCACACATATATACAACCAAAGAACACACAACAACCATAGCACACACACATGCAGCCATAGCACACACATACATACAACCATATCACACACACACAACCATATATCACACACAACCATATCACACACACACAACCATATACACTGAAATCAACGTTACGCAACATCAAACACAACTCAGCCAAACGAATTGCACACTCTCAACGCATTGCAACACATTCACAACGTACACCACACTGCAGCCCTTACACCCACCACAAACCAAGACAAGAGTCGTAGACATGGACAGTCTATGTATGTATAGGGGTACAAGACATTTACACAGACGCAGCACAAGCACAAGCACCCAAAGACCACCCCAGGCACTCAGACACACGCACACACACACTCTCTCTCTCGCAATGCATACATGTATATGTATGGGTATTCTAGTGTGTGCATATAACTATTCAACCCCAAACGTGTGACGGTATAACTATACATAAATGCATAAATACATAAATATACATGTGTGTATAAATACCTGAATATATAAATATACATGAATGTGTACCCTCCCTCAGACACACACCTGCGGCTGTGTCTTTGGCAAGCCCATACGCTTCGTTGTCGTCGTCATCACTGGCTACAATGATTTGTGCATCGCTACCACTGGCACTGTCACTGGCATTGTCAGCCGATGACTCAGACACTCGCTCTACCTTACTCTTGGTGAAACCGTTGACTTTGCCGGCCTTTCTGGCGGCCTTCTTCGCCTCCTTACTCCCCTTTGCTCCCTTCTTTGTGCTATTTTTATCTTTACTCTCATCCTCACTCGCCGAATCCTCCGACTCCTCGTCACTCATTTGAGCGCGGGCTATAACAAGCCGCTCATTGGTTCGAATCTTTCCGTTGGTCATTTTGATTGGCAGATGACCGCTGTTGCGCTCCTGCGCACTCGACGACACAAACGCACGAGCCTTCTTCTCGTGCTGCCAGGTGTTGCTGGCATCTAGGCTGGCAGCCGCGGCCTATTGGAAATGCAAACGGGTCTATTAAGGGGTGTACTGATGGAGTGAAGTGGTAGGTATGTGTACACAATACCTATATTGGCAGGGAGATATGGCAAGACAAAACGACAGTCTGTCACTGAGCTATGCACTAAGTAATTGTGAGTGTAGTATGTATGTTTACGATCATATCATCAGGGACACTATTTAGCGGGCGAAGAAATAATGTGAGCCTATTAGGGTGCGTAAGCATATGTATATATATATATATATATATATATCTATATATATATAAATATATATATATACTTACATATATATATATAACGATATAAATATTTACATATGAGTATATATATATAAATATGTATATATGTGCGTGTGTTGTGTGCGTGTGTGTGCGTGTGTATAGTATATACATATAAATATATATATATATGGAAATATATATAAAAATTTACATACAGATATACAATACAATTATATATATATATAAATATATATATATATATATATAAATATAAATATAAATTTTTACATATAAATATATAATACAATTATATATATATATAAATATATATATATATATATATGCGTGTGTGAGTGAGAGAGAGAGAGTGTGTGTATATACTATAAATAAAAGTGAGTGTGAGTACATATATATATATATATGAGTGTGTGTGTGTGTGTGTATGCTGATGGGTGGGTGGAGTGGGTGGATGGGTGTATGTTTGTGTGTGCGTGTGTGTATGTATGTGTGTGTGGGTTTATAT